AAGCGTCCGACTTTCGCTTAGGTCATGATCTCGCGGTTCGTGGGTTCGAGCCCCGCGTCGGGCTCTGTGCTGACTGCCAGCTCAGAGCCTGGAGCCTGTTTCAGTCTGTGACTCCCTCTCTCTCTGAGCCTCCCCTGCTCACGCTGTCTAGAGACATATCTCTCCTGGAAATAAATAAAACATTAAAAAATTTAAAAAAATACTGGGCAACCTTTTAATTCTACTAATCTGCTGTTGGCTATGATGGCTGTAATTACCTGTCAGGTAATGTATGCGCAAGCGATAGAACGTACCTATTGGGCTTATGTTCCTAATCCTCCTCTTGTGAGAGCTATCTCTTGGGGTGAACCTGAAGTACAGGTATGCACCAATGAAACTGCATTCTTCCCACCACCCGTGTGTGGAGGAATTGAACATTTATATCATCATATTAATCAATATAGCATAAGTAATGTTACTGTTGCAGTGGAGGGCCTCCCCTTGAACATTGGAGGACATCCCTTTTGCCTCTCTACAAGAAAGCATAATCATTACTCTTATAATACCTGGGGGGTAACATATAATAATTATCATCCTGCTGTCTTTACTGTGCTTATTTCCACCAGGGGATTCAACACGTCTACGACGCCAATGAGTCACCATCCTGATACCTTTATACCATTCTGCTCTTCTAATTTTTTTATTCCTTCCTTAGATTCTTTGGAATGGGAAAGTTGCCGAGGTTATAGGCCTTTTAAGGTCATGAACTATTCTGGATTTGTTATTGTAGATTGGAGCCCTGATCATGGCCAACTTTTAGAAAAATGGTCTAACAAAACTCTCAAATGGTATCGAATTAATGGTACTTTAATGGGTAATGGTAATGAAACCGTAAAACGGCAGCAGTTTGCACTTGTTTCCCCTCAGTTGCAATTGTTAGGGTATCCCCACTTTCAAGGGAAAATTTGGAAATTATGGGCAGTTTCAGGGAATCTCACTATATGGTCGGGAAACTATACTTTGAATATGACTGATAGTTCAGGTCCCTTTCATGTTAATTTGCATGTTAATAAATCTTATTCTGCTACAGCTTGTATAAAATACCTCTTTGCATTGTCGTATGAGAAATGGACTTGGAATGCTACAGAGGGGTCTATATCATGTAATGATTGTAATTTAACACAATGTGTAAATCAGTCATGGTGGAAAATTTTTGAAACACAAACCAACAACTCTGATTTTTCATTGGTGGTTGTTAAAACTCAAACTGAAGTATGGCTACCTGTAAATTTGACAAGACCTTGGTCGGACTCTTTTGCTGTATCTCATTTAGTAGCTGCTGTAGAGACCTTGCTTCACCGATCCCGACGCATGCTTGGAGTAATCATAGCTTCAGTTCTTGCAGTGGCTGCAATTACTGCAACCGCTGCTGTGGCTGGACTTGCTTTGCATCAAGGAATCCAAACAGCAGACTTTGTACGGGAGTGGCATAAAGACTTTCATTTATTGTGGCAACAACAACGAGATTTGGATACACAACTTGCAACTGATGTACTCAATCTTCAACATACTGTTTCTTGGCTTGGGGATCAATTAACTGTTTTATCCACAAGAAGTATGTTAAAATGTGATTGGAACTCCCCTCAATTATGTATAACACCTGTGTCTTTCAACATGAGTGAGGGCTGGGAAAAGGTGAAGAGGTCATTAGCAGGACATCAAAACCTAACTAAGGAAATTATGGAGTTAGAGCTACAAATTTTGTCTACATTCAGCAAAACGCTACCTGACATTACTGGGTCTGGTCTGTTAAAGGGTTTACAGGAAGGGATGAATAATTTGAATTCTCTTGGTCATGTATCTACTCTGATTGGAACTACTTTCAGGAATACCTTGCTTATAATACTCTTATGTTGTGTTATTATTGTAGTCTTCTGGTGCTGGCGAAGAAGGCAACAACTAAAAAAGGATAGACAACGCATTTGTGCTGCCTTACAGCTTGCTACTGCTTCTCAGAAAAAAGGGGGAGATGTAGGAGCCCAACAGTGACCACAAGAAAGAATGGTTGGGCGGAGCATGACTGCATACAGGATGTTCTGCCAATGGGCCTGCACACAATATCCAGGGTTAATGGTCCGCTCGCAAACGAGGGAATGTGCCCTCCTTGAAAATAGGGAGGAGGCTGGAGTTCTGGGCAGGCTTCTTAGTAGATATGCTGTGGTCACTGTCTCCCTTTGTTCCCCCCGTCCTTGGAATGTGCTTGGCTAGAAGAATGCGTTTCTTAGATTTTGGTATGTGTCCAGCTACCGGGGTATAAAAATAAACCCCACGAAGGCTTGGGGAGATTTTTCTCCCTCCGGCAGGAGTTGTGTCTTTGTCTGTCTTGTCTTTTTGTCATTTTGTTCACTACACCAGGTAACATGGCTTTGAATGACACACTCAACCGGATATACGGACTTAACAGATATATTCAGAACATTTCATCTTAGAGCACCAGAACACACATTCTTCTTAAGTGCACATGGAACATTCTCCAGAATATATCACATACTGGGAGACATATCAGCCCTCAACAAGCACAAAAAGATCAGTATCATACTGTGCATATTTTCAGACTACAGTGATATAAAACTAGAAATCAACTACATGAAAAAAATTGAAAACACCATGAATACTTGAATATTAAAGAATACCCTACCAAAGAAAGAATGGGTTAAACAGGAAATTAAAGATGAAGAAAGAGAAACACTTTTGCACTGCTGGTGGGAATAAGTGGTACAGCCTCTCTGGAAAATAATATAAAAGTTCCTCAAAATTTAAAAACAGAACTACCCTATGACCCAGCAATTGTACTACCAGGTAATTATCCAAAGGATACAAAAATGCTGTTTTGAAGGAGCACATGCACCCCAATGATTATAGCAGCACTCCTGACGATAGCCAAAATATGGAAAGAGCCCAAACCAAATTTCCATTGAATGATGAATGGATCAATGATTAAGGTGTATGTATATACACATACACAATGAAATATTACTTGATTGTCCAAAAGAATGATATTTTGCCATTTGCAACAACGTGGATGGAGCTAGAGTGATTTATGCTAATCAAAAAGTCAGTCAGAAAAAGACAAATATCTTGATTTCACTCATATGTGGAATTTAATAAATAAGACAGAAAAACATAAGGAAAGGTCTGGAAAAAGAAGATGAAAACAGAGAGGAAGACAAACCGTAAGAGACTCTTAAATACAGAGAACCTACTGAGGGTTGCTGATGGGGGTTGGGTGGTGGGATAGGCTAAATGGGTGAGGGACATTACGGAGGGCACTTGTTGGGATGAGTATTAGGTGTTATATGTAAGTGATGAAATACTAAATTCTATTCCTGAAATCATTATTAGACCATATGTTAACTAACTTGGATTTAAATTATAAAAATAAAAAGAAAATACAGTAATTATCCTACTTGACTCCAAATAGGTGACCTGATATTTCCTTCTGCAGATCTCCTAGGAATTCTCAAATTATTCATATAGTCCTATATTTTTTCCAGAATATATAAATATTGATCATGTTTATCAAATTTTGAAATATATGAGTATCTGGTTCATTGCGTTTATTCAGTTATATTTTTCAAATATAGTAATTCTATTTTATGTTTGAATATTTTTTGGTTTTCAAATTCTAATTTGTTTTTTATATTTTTTTTCTGATTTATTTTTGCAGAGATTTTTGAACATTTTTTCTTCTCCTACCCAGTTTTAGCTGTTTTCTGGTCTTCATTTCTTAAGATACTTTTTAAATTTTATTTTTGTATATTTCTAATCAATATTAACCTGGATCAAAATTAATATATTTTTGTTCATATTTCCTTTCGTATATCTTAAGTTTAGTGTTTGAATACTATTTTACAGAAATATTATTATTTTTTAAAGAAAACAGTTTTAAGTATTTTTGTAAATATTTTGTAAATTTATAACGTGATTTTACTATTCTTTCTTATTAACTTTTATTTTTGATATATGATGTCTAAAAGTCAATGTTATATACTTTAAGTAAATACATTGCTTTTTTATAGCTATTATTGAATTTTATTCAAAACTTGGGGTGAATAGCTTTCATATAACAATTACTAAATATTATACAGTACTATATATCTTTGTTATCCGTCTTTGCATTTCCCTCCATTTTTATAATAAAAAGCACACAATATTGCACTGTGTATTAACTAATTAAAGTTTAAATTAAAAATACATATAGATTCAAAAATGCAATTAATTTTAGACTAATAAAAATTATTGTCTTAATTCTTTCTGATTTTTTGTACCAATTTTATGACCAATAACCAAAACAGGATGGTTACAACAACAGCCACTCAGTGTATATGTGTAGTGTGAATAAATAAACTAAAGACTTGCAAAACTTTTGGCTTATATATTAACAAATTGCTTAGTTAAATTACTAAGGATCCTTTAAAACAGCCTACTGAAAATAGCTAATGTGTTATCTCAGTTCACTTACTGAAAACAAATGAAACGTCTTTTATTTTCTATATCTCTGTAAAATTTTAGGACTAATAGCTAATTACCTGTAAGGATAGATCCCCAAGGACCTTCTAAAATCCCAGTCCCCTCTGTTTCCCTAATATTTTTCCTAAATGGGAAAAAGTGCTTATACATTTTCTGTCTACTTCTTAGTGTCTAAAAAATGTCATATATTTAACTGAGGTGTCACTCAGAAGGAGGGAGCCTACGATAAGATCTCAAGACAGGAAGGTCCACATGTGACTCATCAGCTGACTTATGTTTGCCCAACTCTGACACTGATCTGCTTTCCAACCAGGAAATTCTATTTTTAAGATAGAATAGTTAAAATATAAAGAAATAAAAGATCAGAGTTGAATAAATTCAGAAGGCATAACATTTCCCTGGATGTAAAGGGAACCTTTGCTAGTTTCTCTGGAATTGTATAGAAAAATATGCATTTTAAGATGCACACATTATAATTGTGTTCTATTCATCATTAATAATTCTGTGCTGTATATTCATTGTATAATTTGTATGTCAAAACACACACAAGAATTATTATTTCTATTATTGTTTTGTCATGTAAATTTTATTACACTCTATTTCATTTATCATACTGGAATGGTGAATTTCTTAAAATTCCTCATATTGAAAGGCAAAAAGAATTAAGAAGTGGATTGTTTAGTAAAAATGATTTTAAAAACATGGTTTTTTACTATTTCCTCTTCATATATTTATATATGCTAACAAGAAAAAAGCTAAGCCTTAGAGAAGCTACATTTTTAGCTACTTAATAAATACTACATAATGACTAACAGTTTCTAGTGCATAATTTGAGAAAATATACAAGAGACAGACAGAAAAAGAGATAGAGTGAGGATGAGAGATAGAATGTTTTCCTCAGAACAGATTGTTTAATTTTTGGTCATAACAATGACAATGGAATATGATGCTTCCTGCCATAATGGTAGAAGAGCTCATTGAAAATATAAGCAGCAACGGGGCTGCTGGATGGCTCAGTCAGTTAAGCATCTGACTTCTCCTAAGTTCATGATCTCAAGGATCATGGTTTGAGCCCCACATGAGGCTCTGTGCTGATGGCTCAGAGCCTGGAGACTGCTTTGGATTCTGTGTCTCCCTATCACTCTCTCTGCTCCTTCCCCCCTCACAATCTGTCTCTCTTTCTCTCAAAAATAAATAAACATTTAAAAATTTTTAAAAAAGGAAAATACAAGCAGCAAAATTGCTGTTGTGATTCAGTGAACTGAGAAAAAATTCTTCAGTAAAACTCTTTGAAAATGTAATACCAAATGAGCAATGAACTTTAAATCTTTTTACATTTAAAACAATAAAATTGGGGGCACCTGGATGTATCAATCAGTTAAGTGTCTGACTTTGGCTCAGGTCATATCACAGTTTGTGGGTTCAAGCCCCACATTGGGTTCTGTGCTGACAGCTCAGAGGCTGAAGCCTGCTTCAGAACTGTGTTCCTCTTTCTCTCTCTGCTCCTCCCTCACTCACGCTCTGTCTCTCAAAAATAAACATTAAAAAATTTAAAACAATAAAATAGATTAATTATATAAAGAATATGAAACTATAAAATAACTAGACAACTGTACGGATAAAGATTTACCTAAACGATGGACAAAGCCATTGTAGAAAAAATACCATGAAAAAGAATTTAGGAATTGAAAAAAATTTTTAAATGTATATTTCTGAGAAAAAAAAGAGATCAATCATATAAAAAGATATTTTACAGTTGTGTCTAATAATAAACCATAAGCTAAAGTTCTGCTTTATATAAGAATCTCTTACATATTAATCAGAAAAAAGATTAATTTATCACATTTTGAAATGACAAGAATTTTGATAAAAAATGTGCAGACGACTTATAAATGCAGTTATTAAACAATATGTATTAAAGACACTAAATTTGTATAGAAAATATATATTTATTGGAGGATGGGAGTTGCCTTCACTTCTTTTGTTTCGAAAATATCTTAAACCATATTGTGTTGTTTATAAAACTCATTAAAAATGGAATAGGTATTTTTTAAAACATAAGTCAATGTAATATATCAGCAAATAACAAATAATGCCATTAATCTGAATAATTGTTTTTGCATAAGGAAAAACTGAATCCAGGATAATTTCAAAACCAGTTGAACTACTTGAACATTCTCATCCGAATGACACAGTTTAATGCAGTATTACATTCTTGGGTAAAGATAAATTCATAAAATAAAACTGTGGAAATAGAGAACTAAAGAGGTGACACAGTCTGATGGAACAAAATAAGCATTTTGTATTTAATCCAGAGTGTCTTGCACAGAAAAAAAAAATGACATCAGGTCAGAGTGTGATCATGAGATCTTAGAATACAGAAGTTGAGTTTAACTGACATATCTAGCCACTTGCGGTGGACAAGACCTAGCCTTTCTCCATCCATACTGGAATTCTTGGAGTTAACACAATTCCTCAACACCAGGCTATTTGCTTTCTTAATTTCCATAGGGTGAAAT